AAGGAAGGAAAGAAAGAAAGAAGGAAAGAAGGAAGGAAGGAAGGAAGGAAGGAAAGAAGGAAAGAAGGAAGGAAGGAAGGAAGGAAAGAAGGAAGGAAGGAAGGAAAGAAGGAAGGAAGGCAGGAAGGAAGGAAGGAAAGAAGGAAGGAAGGAAGGAAGGAAAGAAGGAAAGAAGGAAAGAAGGAAAGAAAGAAAGAAGGAAAGAAGAAAAGAAAGAAAGAGAAAGAAAGAAAGAAAGAAAAGAAAGAAAGAAAGAAAGAAAAAAGAAAGAAAAGGAAGGAAGGAAGGAAGGAAAGAAAGAAAGACAGAAAGAAAAGAGTATACTGCAAATTTTATTATTCATCAAAAGGAGTACAAAGACTTATCTTCCAAATCCAGAACTTGGAATACAGAGACCCTGAGTCTAAATCCCTGGGATGCATATAATTTACTCCAAATTCTGGTTCAGGTTCTGGGGTCACCTAACCTAGGTCAGACCCCAGCTCCAGCATTATTTGCAACTAAGATTACCTCTTTGTTTCTAAATGTCCTCATTTGTAAAGTGGAGAATAATGTTAGCATTGACCTCATAATATTGCTATGAAAAATAAAAGAGATAGTATACATAAAGGATTTAAGACAGTGTTTGGCACATAGTAATTACTTAGTAAACATTAGTTGTTATTACTTCTTCAGTGCTAATTTTTCCCACTGAGCTAGTGGAGTGATTAATGACCAAAAATTACCTTGCAACATGTAGGAAGACAATCTAAATATTTATTATTCATATTACCTTACGTGATGTCTGGGATTCAACAAACTCTCCTTGTTCTCAGACTCTTACTCAAGAGAAGGTCAGTATAACACTTCTTAACAGGCTCTTTTAAGTAATGTTTCTAGACAGATTTGTACTTACAGGTTACTGGTAAGATTTCTTCAAGTGGGGACAGTAAGCCGGGCATGCACCCATGGCTCAGCTGAGGAGATGGCACTGAAAGGCATCTTCTAATTTTAATTTAAGATCTAAAAACCTTTGAATTTGTTTCTGAAACAAAGCATGTCTTCCAGTGGTGGAGCATCTATCGTTGTTTCATAGAAGGAGGCCAAATGAAGACTCAGTTTTATTTAAAATCCTCTACTTTCACTGTAGTAAAATTATTCTAAAGGGATCAATCAGCATAAACACCACCTTCCTGTCTTCATTTACAAGCCCCTTCTGCAGTTTATAAAAGCAAAGGGCAAGCTACCAAGGATGCCATAACAAATCTAAATAAGACTTAAAGATGAATAACAATCCTCTATAAACGCTTCCAAAAAACAGAAGAGGAGGGAACCCTTCTCAACTCATTCTATAAGGCCACCATTACTGTCATCAAAACCAGACAAAGATATCACAAGAAAACTACAGACCAAAAATCCCTTATAAATATAAATGCAAAATATCCTTAACAAAATACCAGCAAACAGAACCAGCAACATATAAAAAGGATTATATACCATAAACAAATGGAATTTATCCCAGGAATACAAAGTTGATTTAACATCCAAAAATCAATTGATGTAATATACTATATTAATATAATAAAGGACAATGCCACATGATTATCTCAGTAAATGCTGAAAAAGTATTTCACAAAAATCTAGCACTTTTTTATGATAAAAATCACTAATCAAACTAATGAAAGAGTACTTCCTCAATCTGATAAAAAGCATCTACAAATATCCCACAGCTAACATCATATGTAATGGATAAAGACTGAATGCTTTTCCCCTGAGATCAGAAATAAGACAAGGATGTTTGTCTCCCCACTCCTATCAAACATTTTACTGGAGATTCTAATCAGGGGAATCAAGTAAGAAAAAAGAAATTTAAAAAATTCCATATTGGAAAAGAAGTAAAAATATATCTTTTCACAGATGACATGATCTTTTTTTGAGTAAGTTAATATTTTTAATAAAATCTTATTCTAACTAATTATTTAGTTTTGTATTAATGTATTTTTAATATCGAAGCCAAATTTCTAGAGTGACATGATCTTATATACAGAAAATCCTAAGGAACACACACACACACACACACACAACTATTAGAACTAATTAAGAAGTTCATCAAGGTTATCAGATAAAAGACCAGTATACAAAAATCAACTGTACAGCAGCAATGAATAATGCAAAAGCAAAACAATAGCAAAGAGTAATCTGAAAATTAAATTAACTAAGCAATCCATGTAATCATAATAAAAACAATAAAATAGTACAAATAAATTTATCCAACAAATGAGACCTGTACACTTAAAACTATAAAATATTGTTAAAATAAATTAAAGATCTAAATAACATGGTAATGCCCCCCAAGTTGATTTACAGATTTAATGCAATCCCTATCAAACTTCCAGCTGCTTTTTTTAAAAAAAGAAATTGACAAGCTGATTATAAAATTCATATGGAAAATCATTCAAAATAACCAAAACAAGTTAGAATAAAAAAAAAAAAGCAAAGTTGGAGAACTCATGCTTCCATATTTAAAAACTTACCATAAAACTATAGTAACCAAGATAGCGTGGTACTGGTATAAGGATAGATATATAAACCAATAGAGTAGAATTGAGAGTCCAGAAATAAACCCTTATAGGAATGGCCAAATCATTTTCAACAAAGATACCCAGACAGTTCAATAAGAATAGAAGAGTATTTTCAACAAATGGTTCTGGGCAAAGCAGACATCCACATGCAAAAGAATAAAGTTACATTCTTAAATCATGCCACATACAAAATAATTTCAAAATGAATCATAGCCTTATATGTAACAGCTAAAACTATAAAACTTCATGACTTTGGGAAAGGAAATTGTT